ACACACACACACACACACACACACACACACACACACACACACACACACGTTTAAAGCTATTTTAAAAGAATGAATGAAGCACTAGCACAGAAAGAGGCTTAAGTGGAGTGGAGCCAATGGAATAGGCCTGCGACCCCTCTCTACACAGAAGGCTAAGGCAAGGAGCTAGAAGAACAAAAAGGATTAACACTATATTCAGTAAAATTATGTCTCTAAAAAAGGACAGGAAGATTTCACAGAAATGAGAGATGAATGAGTCATCAGCAGATCTACACCCCCAAAAGCTTCCTTACAGATGCCGAGTGGGATGCAGAAGGCAAGTAATTAGTGTGTCATTAACACACACACAAGCTTTAACTTGATCTAACTTTCATATCCTACACAGAATCTGTAAACTCAGGCCACTAATTATTATATAGATTATTTTTGACCTATGTCACATCCACTGTGAGAAACTGCTGATGTGTAACCCAAAACTGTAGTAAACAAAAAACAAAACGAATCATCTTAGTCTTGAGCAAACTTACCTCTTTGTTTTGGAAAAATGTGCTCAGGGTGCTGTAAAATAAATGTAAAGTGTTACTAGGCAGCCTGTATAACACCTAAAAGACATTCTTTAGTAAGTATTTCGGGTTACCTTCATTATTGGCCTGGCTCGCTTCTCAAACAAACCACTTGGGAAAAGGTAAGCAATAGCTCTCTGAAAACATATATATATACAAATGTTAATTAGAACTGTTATGAAAACACATCAATTTATACCAAGTTATGAAATGCTTACTGTATACCATATATTGGACTAGGATTTCATATATGTTATATCAGTTCAAATGGCCAGGCAAAATCACTAAACATCCCTAAAAAGGAAAATAACAACAAAACAGGTAACTATTAACCTGGCTACTGACAGTGTTCAAGTGTCAACATCACGGGTGTCACTCCTAGGATGGGCTATCACAAGAAGTCTGCCTTTGCAAGTGCAAACTAGAGATGCTGCTTTCCAACCCTGTGGCCCTGTGCTCAAGGGTAACCATTCCAACTCCAGGCCAGGGCAGAACACTGCAACAAGCAGGCTTGTGTTTCATTCACTGTGACACTGGAAACAAACAGTTTAAAGGACAGATTTATCTTGGTTCATCCTTTCAGTAAGGTGTGCCAAATGAACTGTTTTGGCTCTAAGCAGAAGCAGAATATCATGATGGAAAGTGGGCAGAGACTTTTACCTTATGGTGGCCAGGAAGCAGAGAAAAACGACTAAAGGGCTGGGGACAAGGCTTGCCAGCCTCACAGCCTGTGGGACCCACTTCTAGCAGGGCCTTGCCTCTAAGAGTCCTACCATCTCCCTCAACAGCCCTCAGCTGGGACAGAGCTCCCAACACATACATCTGGGGTCAGTTCCACTCAAGCAAGCGCCACCATGGCTCCCTTGGTGTTTTACCCTGAGATTTTACCTTGATTAGGAGGACTGAATATGGGCCTTCATTCACACTGGACACGCACTCCAAACTGACCAACCCTGGTCCTGCTGAGACTTTAACCTGCATTTTTCAAACGAGTCCTCCACTGCAGCTGTGCTCTCCCATCACACAAGTCTCTGAAGACTCCTGGCTCATTCCCATTTACACCAGTGCTTGGACAAATGACACCAGCCCCACCCCCAGGACAATCTGAACAAAGAATGACAATGTCCTTCAGCACACTCAATAAGCAGGAGTACAAATATGTAAGTCTAGTAGGCAGGTACACATACACACTAGAGGGAGGAGTGGGGAGAAAGAGAAAACTGCTTAACAAGCAGTACCAAGTATAAAAGTAGAAGAGATGGCACAGGTAGAAAGCCCATTACTTTACAATTTCCAGGTCAGTCATAATTCAGGAAAAGATCACCAAGTCCCTTGCTGACAGGTCATCAAGGACCAGAAAACTCAGACTGAAATATTACCCTACTTTGTTAGTTACTTTCCCATTGCTGTGACAAAACACTATGACAAAGGCAGCTTATTTTGACTTAGAGTTCCAAAGGGATAAAAGTCCATCACCACCATCATTAGGGGGAATCATGGCAGTAGTAAGGCAACTAGTAGTATGGCAACTAGTACAACAGCTCAGAGTTCATATCTGAAACCACAAGCATGAAGCAAGATCAAACTAGCAATGGCACAAGTCTTTTAACTCTCGAAGCCCACCTCCACACTTTCTTCAACAAGGCCAGATCTCCTAAGCCTCCAAAACGTGCCACCAACTGGGCATCAAGTGTTCAAATGCCAGACACTATGACAACATTTCATTCAAACCTCCATACCTCCAGATTACGTGCTAGGAAAAAAGAGAAAAGTTAATTTCACAAGAGTTCTAATGGAACTACTAAGGAAGCAAAGGACAGTCACATCAACAGTGGAGAAACTGCGCACCTTCCGGGGTGAAGATGAAAGGGTAGCCCGGCCAAGGATTTCTTTCATGTATTCTACATCTGAGTGTGAGGAAGTGAGCACAACTGCACAACTCCAGAGTGTCTAACAACTGAGCAGGGGGTCTAGAATCTAAAAAATTAGACAACTAAGGACAATCTGGAAAATTTAAATATAGACCATTTACATAAATGACATTATAGAATTGTTATATTAGAAGTGAAAATTGTACTGTAGGAGACATTGGCATAAAAGGTACATCTACTTCAGTGTTGAGGAGTTCAGCTTGTAAAACCTGATTTTCCATGGGTCACTCAAAATTATTCTACACAGAGGCAAAGAAAATGTGAAAAACTCTGTCAGATTTAACTATATGAAGAACATGTATTCAATAAACATATCTCATGGAAATTTGAACATTTCAAAGATAAAAGGTAGAAAAAAAATGTCAAAAACTTAAGATTTCCCCACACCCAACCTGTCTGAAGAAAGCCATGGCTGGCCTGAAGTATCTGTGAGGCCTTGTCCTCACATCCACAAAGCGGCTCCAAGGCTCTCGGCACTGTGGCAAGGCCCAGGTTACAGCAGCACAGGCACAGAAGATTAAGTACGCCTGTCAGCTTACTCGCCATTCATCCTCCAATGAGCAGCAGGCTATCGCTGGCATCACCTTAAAGCACAACACTGACTAAATCACGCGATCACTGAATAACCCTAAAGGGAAACGGAAACGCAAGAATTCCATCGCACTTTTATATTGCTCAAGCATGGTAAGAAGTGGAAAAATCATGAGAAAGTGAGAGACCAAAAAGATTAAAAATTAGCTGCTATTATTAAGGCCTGAACTATGCGGGTGAAGAAGTCTAGTAACGCCCTGAGGGGAAGGACCGCCTTACTGCATTCTTTCCCCACCCACTAAGATACAGTTGCTAGGAAACTGGCCCATCCCCCTTGGGAGGGACACCAGCTCATTATAGGAGCTGGAGACCTTCCTATAGCCAATCAATTCAAAATGTAGCATTTTGACCAATAGATGCTTGCCAGGCAGGAATTGCCCCTGCCTTGGGCCAGCTGGGATGGACCAGAATCTTTAAATCACCCAACTAACCTGGGCACGGGGCTCTCGGCTCCCACCGCTTTGGCAGTGGGGGGGTGTGGGCCCAAGCTGCAGCTTATCATTTGTAATAAAAAGAACCTCATGTATTTACAGCGGAGTCTAGTTACTCCTGGTCTTTTGGGGTTTGTGAACTGGTCAGAACAAAAGTTAACTGATAGAGGGCAATTTAAAAACACCTCTTCAAACATAAGAACAAAGTGAACAAAGAGCATGATGGAAGTATTCTGAAATTCAAGTGAAAAGTGGCTCTACCTTAAAGAGAGAAACCCAGTATTATAATCTAGCTAAAAGATAAAAAAGGTGGGTAATCGATAAAAAAAATAGAATGAGAGAGAACGGTAAATAAAACAAGCCAATTATTTGTAAGTCAAGTTAGCAACATCCCAAATATTAAAGAAGGTTCTCAGCATGCTGCCTGCATCTGTTTAGCATGCTGAGGACAGTCCTGACATGACCTAACCTATTACTCCCATTTGGCTCCTATGGGCATTCTATGCAGATTTCCCCCACAAATTCTGAAGCAAACAAAGGACCCACTGGCTTTACTGAGAAAATAATTTTGTTGCTTTCTGGGTTCACCTAACTACCACTTAGCACAATTGTTAAAATGTAAGTGAATTCATTTTTTAAATAAATAATGAATAAGAACAAGATTTTTCGTTAGTGTGGTGTTGGAACAGTTTTGGGCAGAACACTACGTGCTATAAATGGGAAAACCTTGACTTTCATTATACTGCAGAGAAAGGAAGCAATGAACAAGAACAGGACGGAGACAGAAAAGCACAGAACCTGTGTTTCAGATGCCATCACTAGTGATCTGACTGCTGGTTGTAGGGCTAACATACCTTTAAAAGGCAGTGCCAACTATGCACTCAATGTTACACAAATACAAAATCTCCACTTTATAGAAATCATCGTATTCCTCATATTATTTTAAGGACACCTCATGTATTCATTACTCTGTTTTACAGATGAATCCTCAGTTAAGTAACAATACACAGTCCAAAACCACTTGAGTCAGAGCTGATACCTGAGAGTTAATCCTGACATATGCTCTTCCAGCGTGCTCAGAGTACAGACTTCATCTTCACTGGCTTTAAAGGCACCCAGCCATTTACCAGTAAAATTAATAAGAAAATTCCCAAAGAAATGAACTATTTACCTTGGTAAGGTGTATTCAACAAATATGAGTTAAGATATGGCCTCCAATTTTATTCTGTCAGGAGACAAAAGAATCTGTACTGTCATATACGGGAGCCGCCATCACATAAAAACATTGAGGTAGCCAAGCGGTCAGTTCGCTGCTACAGCAGCACTTCCCACCTGGTTTTCTTTCCACTCGGTTCCTCCATTCTAGCCAGGGCCTGTGCTTACAGTCTGCCACACTGCAGTTCCACTCCCCCTTTTACACATCCATGCAGCTCTCCAGAACTAAAGCAAGTGCAACCCCTGTAAACCTCCGGCTCAAGTTACTTTTCCTTATTATGGAGTGTCATGTGCTCCATTCTCCCATGCTCTGTCATTTCTGTCAAAGAAACATCCTCTTCCCCACCCTGTCACTGTTGTCTCCACAGACTTAGGGCTACACAAGAGTTCCTTAACTTACCAATTGCTGTGACATTTGTGAGCAAACTAATGTGAACAAGCCATCTAAATAGACTGTACAAATTATGGCAGCACCCAGACCAATATACAATTCTCACTTCCCAAACCCAAGCCTGTCCTTAGGCAATACTACTTCCTATAACAGCCTTCTTTCCAGAGGTTTCTGTCCAGCCTCACCATTATCTCAATCCTTCAACTGCTTCCACGCTATGAACCAAAACAACTTATACAAGGAGTTTATTTGGTTTTTAGTTCCAAAGAGATAAGGGTCTGTCATGGCAGGGAAATGTGGCAGCAAGTGGCAGACCTGGTGACGGCAGCAGGAAGCTGAGGGTGGGCATCTTGAGCCACAAGCATAAAGCAGAGGGTGAACTTGAAATGGTGAGTTTTTCAAATGTCAAAGCCTTTCTCCAGCGACACATTCCTCCAGCAGGCACACCTCCCAAAATTTTATCTAAGCAACCTACACTGAAGATAATTATTTAAATTTAGAAATAATGGGCCCAAGTGAGCACCACACTTAGGTAGTTATTTCAAATAAAGTAATTGTTACAAAGAATAAATAATAAA